TACAAGGTCACTATGAGTTGGAACCAACTTCACAGCAATAACAACAACAATACAAGGATGCAAGGCAAACTGTAACTAGAGAAAAACAGAACAGGAGACCCAGCTGGAATTCAAACAATGGAGTGAGCCCTCAGATGCAGTTTTTACAAGAACTACACGTTCAAAGAATTAACATGCAAGATTGAAACATTTGGCAGAGAGAGAACTAGACTACAAAAAAAGGAACCAAATGGAAATCCTAGAACTGAAAGAGGCAATTGACTGAAATGAAGAAATAGCTAACTTTTATTGTACACTTCCTATGGGGCCCTGCACTGTGCTTACCACCTTACAGGCATCAGGTAGACATCTCAGTCCCTTTACAAAGGAGGCTCAGGGAGCCTCCAGGCCACCGTAAGGCCATGGGAACAGGATAGGAATTTTCTTGAGCCCACGCTGTGTCATGATCGAGGGTCACTCATAACTCTTAGGACACTGACTTAGACTGGTTGTTCTATTTCCTGTCTCATCCACATTCTTTCTATTATGACCAATGTCTAATAGCTCAAAACCAATTGTCCTTGAGGCTCTTCCAAATGCATGGCAACCCCATGTGTTTATAGCAGAACTGTATTCCATAGGAGTTTCAAGACTGTGACCTTTGAAAGCAAATCTCCAGTTCTTTCTTCCAAAGTACCTCTGGATGGCTTTGAGCTGTGTGACTTTTGGTTACTAATCCAGTTGTTAGTATTTGTGCCTCGAAGGGATGCCTTCTAGTACCCAGTGTCTAGCATATGAAAAGCATTGGGTACCACTGTGAAAGCTGAAAGCTCACAGAGGGAAATGATGACATGCTGATGAAAATGCAGAGCCCGTTCTCTATGTGATGTGGTAATTAATTCAGAAATTGGAGTTAAGAGCTGAGTCCCCAGAACCAAGAAAAAAATAAATGGAGAAATTTCCTGTGGGTAGAAACCATACGGACACCAACACTTGTACTTAGATGAGGGGGAACCAAGACTAGAATTGTGGTCATGAGTGAGGACAGGGATCATCTCCTGTCCCCGGAAGGAGGACTTCTTGTCATTGTCTACTAGATTCTGATTCACAATGATCCTATGTGCAGTAGAACAAAACACTGCCATGTATAGTGACCCCACGTGTAACAAACAAAACACTACCCAGTCCTGCAAAATCCTCACAACCTTTCCTTTGCGTGAACCCCTTGTTAAAGCCATTGAAGGTTTTCCTCTTTTTTGTTGACCCTCTACATTACCAAGCATGATGTTCTTCTCCTGAGAATATGTCAAAGTACATATGACAGAGTCTTGCCATCCTCACTTCTAAGGGCACTGTGGTTGTACTTCTTCCAAGAACACTTTTGTTTAGTCTTCTGGCAGTCTATGGTCTATTCAATATTCTTTGCCAACACCATAATTCAAATGCATCACTTCTTCTCTGGTCTTCTTTATTCATTGTCCAGCTTTCAAATATATATGAAGTGATTGAAAATATCATGATTTGGGTCAGCTGTGCCTAAGTTCTCAAGGAAAGAGGGTTTGTCTTCTTTGAAGTCAAGGTAGGCGTGGTACAGGAACGGAGGGAGTAAGTGGAGAGGTTGGGGCATTTGTAACCTATCTCACCTACTGCACCTGGGGCAAAGAAACACACAATAGCTGTCATGTGAGTATTTCCAATCTGCCAGTGTCAAGGCAAAATACATCTTGTGCAAGATCTCATCCCATGATGCACTTCTACTATTAGCCACATTTTACAAATAATGAAACTGAGACCTAGAATAGTTCAGCACATTGCCTGAATATGGCCCAACTTGTACATGGCAAGGGAAGTACTCAAACTCAGGTCTGCCTGACTTCATAAACTGGACTCACGATGTGTTGCCATACCCTGACCTGGGGACTCCCTCTGCCTGTATTCAGGAAGACCTTACTGAGTCACTCCATGAGGGCACAGTGACAAAGATCATATACCTGGGAAAGACTGAGAGCCTTGGACACCAGTTCTCCAGGAAATGTCTGTCTCTTTGTGTTTGGGTTGGGAACAGAGAGACATTGACCCAAGAACTGCCATGTGGCTGGGGTGTGAAGTCCATCAATCTCAGCTTGTCAAGTTACTTCTCTTCATAAACATTTATAGTCATTTTTTGAGAGACCACTGATTTTACAACCAAAGAGGGTTTTAGAAGCAGCCTAAGACACGTTGGAGAGAACACATCATAGATAGATGGTAGCTATCTTTCCTTTCTCAAAGGTGTGTTGACAAAGTTAGGAACCTTAATAAATGTTCGAGAAAACGATAAAGCCAGATTCAACTGCTATTGGAAGTGGAAAATAATCAAACAGTTTCATACACACAGCTTTCTTCAGCCAAACAAAAGTAAAATCAAACCAGTTGCCATCAAATTGACATGAACTCATGGTGGCCTCGTGTGTGTCAGAGTAGAACTGTGCTCCACAGGATTCTCAATGGCTGATTTTTCAGAAGCAGACCTCCAGATCTTTCTTTCAAGGTGCCTTTGGTTAGTAGGCGAGCACTTAATTATTTGCAGGACTCAGGGATTCCTTTCTTTATTCAGTTATTGTTGTGGTTGTGGTTGTTAAGTGCCATTTAGTTAGTTCCAACCCATAACAACCCTGTATAGGGTTTCTGAGGAGGGGCTGGTGAGCTTGAACTGCTGACCTAGCCATCCAAAGCGAGTTTGCAGTCCAGTGCATCAACCCACAGCACCATAAGAGCTAGCCTCCACTAAAGCAAACAAGCAAAACACCCCATGGCCTTGGAATATTCATGGACTTCTCCCAGGTGTTTCTGAAGTTGACTGACACCCTTAAGGCCACATAGCTTATGAAAACATTGTAGAGACTCCTACAACGGTATGTTACATTTCAAAGCAGTCATTCAGGGAGGTAACAGAATGCTGGAAGGAATGTTCCATCTGCTCTGAAAGAACACTGTAAAATTTGTAAAATTCATCTACAGTGCTCCTCCTTTGAAGGGACTGCCCCTCCACTTGGGCACATAACTGCTGTGGAAGGGAGTGCCTTGGGCTGGGAGTCAGGAGTCCTGAAATTCAGAACATACCTTTGTTGTTAATGAGCTACTTGTGTGACGTGGGCCAAGTCTCTTCCCCTTTCCAGGTCTTGCTGGGTCTTCTGTAAAATGCTGATGAGGTGGCTTCAGAATATCACCAAAGTCCCATTTAAAATCCTAAAATGCTACCACCTATCCTTCTGCACAGTATGTGCTTCAAGTCCTCTTGGCTTTCAGAGAGCAAAGTTGAGTTATCTATATGAGCCTCTCCCCAATCCTGTTGCTGCATTGGCCAAGAATATAGTGACTACACTATGGACTTCCAGAAGAATGAATAAATCTCCCTTGAAAGAAGTAACAGCCAGAACAATCCTTAAAAGGAAGGATGGAATGACTTCATCTCGTATACTTTGGGCATGTTATCAGGAGGACGATATATCTCTGAAGAAAGACATGATGTGTGGTACAGTAGAGGGTCTGTAAAAAAGAGGAAGGCCCTTAATGAGACCAACTGGTACAATGGCTGCAACAGTAGCCTCAAATGTAGCAACGATTGTGAAGATGGTACAGGTGATGTTTTGTTCTGTTGTACATAGGGTCACCGTAAGTTTAAACTAACTCAAAGGCACCTAACAACAAACAACAATAGCCTTCTGCACAAATGGTACCCATCAAGAAAGCACCCTCTACAACTTCTGCCTATCCATAGAATGGACTATATTTACCTTTTTCCTGTCCACAATGCTGTAAGGATGGAAGTTAATGTTTATTGGTACTGGCTATGGACCAGAAATTTTTTCCTCTCTCCCTGTTTTCCTTCCACTTAAAAAGATGATCATTCTGTAGATGAGGAGGCAGGGACCCAAGTAGGTGAAGTCACTTGTTCAAGGTCCTATGGGTGTCAAATGACAAGTGGCAGAAATGGAATTTGGATTCATAATGTTCAAGTGCTGGATTCATCCCATTTGCCTAGACCCTAACTTTAAAGACGTAGGAATAGAGTTAGCTTCCAAACACCTCTCAGGAAGGATACGCTTCACTCTAGAGCAGAGTTGGATGAAGTCTGGGCCCACAGGCCAGCTGATTTTGTAAACCAAGTCCTCCTATTGGGGCTCAGTCAGATGTATGTGTTTCTATTTGTCTGTGGTTGTTTTCACATTTCAACCACCGAGTGGAGTAATCACAACAGAGACTTCATTGCCTGCAAAGTCTAAAATATTTACTATTGGGTCTTTGCAGAGAAGTTGCCAGTCCCTGGTTCCAGTTATGGAGTGGCACAGTGGTTAAAATATTCAACTGCTAGCCTAAAGGTTGGTGGCTGAACTCATCAGATACTTCATGGGAGAAAGACACGGCAGTGTGCTTCTGTAAAGATTTACAACCTTGGACACCTTATAGGGCAATTCTCTCTCCTAAAAGGTTGCTATGAGTTGGAATCCAACCGACACCATTGGATTTGGGTTTGGGTTTGGGTTTTAACTGCAGTACCATAATGCAGAACACTTCAAAGAACATAAAGTAACATGACAGTGTTCCATGGACAATGGAGCCCTATTACTACTTGGATTTACTACAAAAGGGAGTCATTTATGCTCAATTGTACTCTCTTGTTAAAAAAAAAAAAAAATTAATTAAGCAACAGTTGGAGGGTATCTGTCAACCAGTGGAGTGAGGAGGTAGCCTTAGTTTTTATTGTGCTCTTCTTCCCAGGAACTTAGTGATGGGGAAATAGAAATCTCAATTTGGGGGAAATTGCTCAGGGGGGAAGGGAGGGAATCAGTTACGACACAGCTATTTCAACATTCAGCCAGTTGAAAGTGGTAGCCGTGAGGGTTTCTATTTTCGGAAATTTACATTTCCATTTCGCAGAGCAGTGGCAGCATCCTGGTTTGGGTGAGCGACACCTTCTTTATAAGCCGCTCCTCTGGGGCCGACATGGCAGTCTACCTTTGTCTCATCGTGGCCACAGGATGGAAATGTTCAGGTGTTCCCTCAGCCACCTAATCTCTCTGATCTTTCTCCTGTTCCATTCAGAGGCTGCCTGTGGCCCCACTCGAAGAAGACTCTGCAAGATGAGAACTTTCAGGTGAGGTGGACCCCAAGGATGTGGGAGCGGAGGAGCAGCAAATGGGGACCTTCTACAACTCTTCCTGGCCACCGGGCTCGGCACAGTCTGAGATCGGGTTTGGGGCTAGAAAAGGGGCGGGCTATGATTCTAGGAAGAGGCTGCCACATAAGTCTTTATGTCTTGTCTTTCGAAATATCTGAGTGGCATAAAGTTCACTGGAAGCTTTGCTTACCTTCCAAGGACTTTGACAACTCAGTAAGTAATCAGGACTTAGGTCGGACAGAGTATGCTGGCTGAAGAAGCAGAGAGAGCTACAGTGGGCAGATACATGACTGCCCATAGCCGAACATGCCAGAAAGATTTTCAAACGATGCCTGTCTGATGTTGAACCAGCGCATTCCACTCACCTGGGGCCTCAGGTTCCCCATCTTTGAAACAGGGCTCGTGATGACCTCTGGCTGTCTTACAGGGCTTTTGTGAGACTAAATATACAGATAAAAGTATACGATGTCTGTGAAGTGAACAGTGCCTGAAAACTACTATGATTTGTTTTTCTTGACCACTAATTAAAAAACATACCAGTTATCAAATTAACTCCAACTTATTATGAGTCCATGTATGTGCTCCGTAGAGTTCTCAATGGCTGTTTTCTTTCTGGTTTTTTTTTTTGACACGTGTTTTATTTTTCCTTCCCCTTCACCAAGTTTATATTTGTCTACTGTGATTTTAAAACTTGTTCAGAGTCTAGTCAGACATCACCAAGAGTGTTGTAGAATGGCTAGGTAGTGGTGTAGATGAAGAAGAGACTACTGGTTGCTGCCTGTCCTCCTGCCCTGTGACATTCCAGGAGTGAAGTTATGGCCCCCAGGAATGACGGCACCCTCTTTCTCTGCATCTCTCTGCCCAAGGCTGTAGGCCAGGTTCCTGTGAGGGAGTGAGTATGCGTGCATGTGTGCTTGGACAAGCCCCTAGTCCTTTCCTCACATGGCTCAGCTCTGGGGAACTGCTGCTTCATAAGGTTTTATCTAAGCCTTTGATTTGGTTTGAACTATTTTAGTCATGTTCGACAAAGAGAAATCGGAACAGACCCCCATTTTTTTTGGGGGGGGGGAGGGGGTAAAGAGGAACAATAATGAAATAGAAAAACATACAGGTTGAAGTCCTGGCATGGGTGACATGGAAGACACATAGTGAGCCCTTTCAAGAGCCTGATGTGGCAGACTGGAGTATTGCCAGCACTGTGTAGAGTGACACACTTTCAAAGCCATGGCATTGGCTGCCATCTTTGAGTAGAGGTACCATTGTTTCCTACTACTGTCAAGACATTTGGTTGCTATGCAATGCTCACTCTGTCCTGAAGTCTCTAGCAAGGCATTATTTCTGTTAAGCACCATCGAGTTGGTGCCGACTCATAGCAACCCTATATATAATATAGGTATAGGGTTTCCAAGGAGTGACTGATGGGTTTGAAGTGCCAATTTTGCAGTTAGTTTATCCTACAATGCCACATATAGCAGCTGTCCACTACAGCTAGATCTGGGTCTTTTTGTTTTTCAGGATCTGGGATGTTAACCAGAAGGTCTTCTATGTGAGTAACAACCAACTTGTTGCTGGATACTTACAAGCAGCAAATGCTAAATTAGAAGGTAAGTGGTTGCTGGGAAAGCTGCTACTATGTTGGCATCAGGTCACTTTGCTCTGGGGCCTGCAGTATTGTGGCTGCCCCACAAATCTTAGATGCAATGTTGATGCCCTGGTGGGTCCTTGTACTGACTTTGGAGTCTGTGATGTCTGAACCCTGGAGGGTGAACATGAGCTCAGGAGGATAGGGGCAGGGTAGAGTCTAGGTCAAGAGCCTCCATCTACAGGCACCAGTGGTCCCAAGGCCACATCTGGGAGAGGTCAGAGACCAGAAGATAAAATTTACCCTTACATTGTTCCCATTCTCCTGCACAGTTCAAATCCCAGTCCAACCCCAAGTTAATACAAGTACATCATATGTGAGACAGGATTATGTTCATTTGTGCATACCACATTCAGTGGTGCTCTGGCCCATGCTCTACATCAACTGGCTGGACTTGGACAAGCTTTGCTTATTCCATTCCTGGTTGTCCCTTTAGCGAAATGAGTGCAGTGGGGTGACGTGACCTGAGATTACTGCAGTGTGGCATCCTAGGATGTCATCATGTCCCCGGTGTCTGACTTGGTAATACAGTATGGAGTTGTCTTCATTTCTTTATCCTCCCACCCCTTGTACCCTCTTCTTGTCTGACTTTGTAAAAGAGCAAGACCTACCTTTCCTGCCCTTCTTATAATTCTTCTAATGAGACACTCTGAAGCACAGAGAAGCTAAGAATTTTCTGCCACATGAAGGCATGGAGACCACTGAGGGGAGATGGCAGATTCAAAGTCACCGGGAGTCCCCATCGCCTCCCAAAAGCCAAACCCCCAGATCCACTCAAGAAGGTACACTCAAGATTGTGTGCTATTTTCCTTGCCCAAGAAGCAAATGTGCTGCCTTTTTAAAGTATTCAAGACCAAAGATGTCAGTTTGAGGACTGAGGTACACCTAACCCAAGCCATGGTATTTTCGATAACCTCATATGCATGTGACAGTTGGACAATGAATGAGGAAGATTATAGAAGAATTGATGCATTTGAGGTATGGTGTTGGAGAAGAATATTAAAAGCACCATGGACTGCTAGAAGAACCAAAAAATCTGTGTTGGAAGGAATAGAGCCAAAATTCTCATTAGAAGCCAGGATGGCAAAACTTCATCTCTCATGCTTCAGACAGATTATCAGGAGGGACAAGTCCCAGGAGGAGGAGATCATGCTTGATAAAGTGGAGGGTCAGTGAAAAAGAGGAAGATTCCCATTAAGATGGACTGACACAGTGGCAACAGCAATGGGATCAAGCTTAACGATTGTGAGGCTGGCACAGGACTAGGCAGAGTTTCACTCTGTTGTGCATAAAGTCACTATGAGTCGGAACCGACTCTGTGATAACTACCAATAACAGCAACATGGGCAACACATGTGCTTCCCTGGACCACAGATATTCTGGGGAGAGTGAGGAAAGGACAGAAACTATGTGCAACAGAATCTAGGAGATTATACTAGAGGAATAATTAAGATAATCTGCTGGGTTTGATCTTCAATTTGGGTTTAAACCAGAAAATAGGACTTCACCATCCTTCTGTCATTGGGGTTTTAAATGGGGAGATAGAAAGTTGACCCAGGGAGGGACCAGGCTTCCACATATTCACATCTCACACTTTTCTTCTCTATATAACCTAAGTGTTCCCTCTGCTCTTTCCCAGAGAAGATAGAAGTGATGCTCACTGAATCAAATAATGCATTCCTGGGAATCCATGGAGGGAAACTGTGGCTGTCCTGTGTCAAGTCTGGTGATAAGATCAGACTCCAGTTGGAGGTAAGGACCTGTTTTAGATTTTAGACCACCACAGAAACCCAGTAAGTCAAAACAACCCTAGTTTCATTTTCCTCATTATTCTGTGAGTGGACTAGGAATACCTGGGAATTTCTGTGTCACATAGTAGATACTCCCATGCGCCTATGTAGTTCAGAGCTAAACTCCTGTGACTGTATTGATCAGGTTGTTGACTGGGGCTGGAGTGTACAAGATGCCTCTCATCTTCCAGGCTTGCTGTCCACATGGCTTCTCATTGTTCAGTAGTCACTCTGAGCTTCCTTATAACATGGCGGCATTCCAAAAGGACAAGCCTTACTGTGCACATGCTTATTAAACCTATGCTTGCATTTCACTGCTAATGTCCTGCTAATGGATGCTGGCAATGATTAAATCTAAAGTCAATAAGGGAGGGGAGTACACTGGGAGTGAACAGTGGAAAACTTGGTTCACTGGGAGTCACCAATGTAACATTCTACCATGGAACCTGAATCACTGTCCTCAGTGTTCTTGACCTGCCCACCTCTCCCATCCTACCTCATCTGGAAAACCTTACACTCTTCTGGCAAACCTAAGCTCAGGACCATTCTCTTCCAATTCTTATCTGTTCAAAATTAGTTTGTTTCCAGTTCAGGGTCCTGTGTTCCTTAATCCCATGCAATAGTAGTGGCTATCCAGCTCTGGGGAAAGATGACTTCATCTCAGTGGCTTATTGTTCTAGATTCTAACCCAGATCTGAGTACCCACATGGTAGCACTGCCACTCTCCTCCTCCAGTGGACAGGGACACTTTTTTAGAGGGTGTCAGCCTTCACTGTGTGGAGTGGAGGTGACCAGAGAATTGTATGTAACACATCAAATAGCTGCAGTATTCTGTCCACATCCTTCACCCAGTCCTTGTCCTCTGAAGTGCAGATCCTGACAAAGCAGCAGCCTCCATAGGCCTTAGCCTCTGTTGATGTTGTCAGATGTTTACCAAGCTGATTAGCACATGGCCACAGTGGCCAAACTTCCAAAGTCAAGATGTGGCAATGGACAGCTTTTTGTGTCATTGCTATCCTGGGATATGGATACGAGGGCACATGGTTTCCTGCTAGTGACGTTTTAGTCAGTACTTCTCTAGTGGAAAGTGGAGTACATAGGACAGTTCTCACCTTCTCATGTCTTGGCTTCTAGGAAGTTGACATCACTGACATGGGCAAGAACAAGGAGCAGGCCAAGCGCTTCACCTTCATCCACTCACAAAATGGCTCTACCACCAGTTTCGAGTCAGCCGACAACCCTGGCTGGTTCCTCTGCACAGAATCTGAAGGGGATATGCCAGTCAGCCTCACTAACAAGCCCAGAGATGCTACCAAGGTCACCCAGTTTTACTTCCAAATGGAACCACAGTGCTAGCCATACCTCTTCACTCCACTCCATGGATGACTAGGGGGGCTTCCTCTCCATCCCTGCCTGGGGTCTCTTGGTGGTCTTGAGGCAGAGCTTACCCTTGGAAGGAGGTACAGAACCCTGGTACCAGGACTCTATCTCCAGCCTCCTTAGCTAACTCAGCCTCCATACTCCCCACAGAATAGTCTCTCCAAAATGTAAATAAGATCATAACACTCCTCTGTGCAAGTCCTTCAGTGTCCAGGATAAAACCCTAACTTCCTCATGAGAGCTCCATCCATCTTCCCAGCCTGGGAGCCCCTGCTCTCCTCCTAACATCTCCATCTCACCCACCATGTGTCCATGCTCTAGATGCATCATGCCACTTTCTCATCCCACCAACTGGCTCCCATGCCCTGTTTGTAAGTAAACGCTAGCCCAGGATGAAAGGTTCTATGTATCAGAGACCCTTGGAGTAGTTCCACTCTGACTGACAGTGTTGCTATGAGTTGGAATTGACTTGATTGTAGTGACTGAGATGATAAAATGGAAATTGAGGTCTTAATGGTAAATTTTATGAAAGCATCTTTATTTACTAGGAAGGAGAATTATTTATTTGGAGCTTATGTCCTTTCTGGAAAGCTATGTCACTGAAGGATTAACATGTCATTGTATTTTGTGAAATGATAGCAAAAGTAGAGATAGTCTTTATTGTCTGTTTTCTCTCATTTATTTTTGTAATGCCATAAATGAACATTAAAAATGAGCATACTATGCTGGTCTCCTAATTTTATTTTAGTTTTTTAATTTCCAAAATGTTCCTGTAAGTCTGGGCCTGCCATTCAGGACTCTGAACAGTACAACCTCTAGGGGCCTTTGCAGCTGCAGGAATGCTTTCTTTTCCAGGTCTCTGCCTGCTAAACTTCACTAACTCCCCAAGCCCAGAACAAATGTGGCTCCCCTAGGATCCACTGTCTGAAGTCCCAGGAGAATTGAGTAGCTCCTTAACCATTTTAGCACTCTTCCTGACACTTGTCCCTCTGTTTCCCCCTTCAGTCTGTGGGCTCCTGAAGACAAATAGCATGCCTCATTTATCTGAGGTTCTGCAGGGTCAAGCATACAGCCTGGTCTTTAATTGGTGTTCTGTGTAAGTGTACTGCATGAGTTGAGTGGAAGTTTTCTGTTTTACAATAAAAACTTGAAAGTTCACCTACTTGGTTGGCAGTGTCCATGGCTTTACTGGGTCTGGGACACAGAGGTCTGGAGAGATGATGAACCAGAAGTCCTGTCCTCCTTTTCCTGCTCAGACCTCACTGTCCCTCGATAATGTGAGTATGGAGTTCCTGACAAATATAAATGAAACAGCTTTGTTCACCATAGTCCACATCTGGGAACACCCCCAAACACCCATTATTAGAAGAATCAACATATAAATGTATATGTTTATATAAAGGAACACTTGACAGCAAAGAAAATGAGTCACAGCCAGAGACACCCAGTGAAACAATAACTCAATCAAAATGAGGTGGGGGGAGAGAAGCACAGAGCGTACATGCAGTATGCTTTGATTCATGTAAAGCTCACAATAGGCAACATGGAACTGTTCTGGGGAGGAGTACATAGACAGGTGGCACAAACCAAAAGAGAAGTAAGGGCATGTTCTTCCTGAAAGTTGGGGTAATGGTTGACTGTTGGGAGAAGGGAGGCTATCTTAGTTATCAAGTGATACTCTAACAGAAATACTACAAATGAGTGGCTTTAATGAACAGTTTATTTTCTCACAGTGTAAGAGGCTAGGAGGCTGAATGCAGGCACCTGTCTATGAGGAGGTTCTCTCTGCATGTTCTGGGGGAAATCCTTTACTCCGATTCTGTAACATTCTTCTCAGCATTCTTTGGAGATACCTATGAAGCATCTATCCATTCCCCATGTGGCTTGCTTTTCTCTTTGTCGAACTGAATCTTTTATATCTTAAAAGTTGTTGGTTTAAGACACACCTTACGCTAATACGATCTCATTAACATGACACAAATCCCTATTCCCAAATGAGACTACATCTACAGGTATAGGGGATGGGATTCCAACACATTTTTTGGGAGGATACAGTTCAATCCATAACAGAGGGTCAATCAAGAACACCAATGCTTTTAGAGACCAGGCAGCATTCTACTTCCTAGCATGGATGTGGTCAGGTAGTTTTCTGTACATGTGCTGTATTTCACAACTTTAAAATGTCTAGAAGATTAAAAGCCTCATATGTGTGAGGTGTGAGGGAAGGGAGTATCACAGCAGTCATGAGCTTGCTGTTGTTATTAAGCACTGCTGGGTTATTCCAACTCACAGCAACACTGTATATGGTTTCTGAGGAACAACTGGCCCAGTGCTTATCCTATAATACCACACCAGGACTCCAAGCAGTAGAAATGTTGAGTGGAGTCCATGTGGTGGAACTGTGGGACTGTAGCATGATGTCCTATCAAGCATCTTGGCTAACAGAGTCAGAAAGTGAAACGTGCTGTCCTGCCTCCTGTCCAGGTTTCACTGAACTCTGGTTTTGGGCTCAGGAGTGTTGGGGGTCAGGTCCCAGCTGGCCAATGAGCCTACTGTGTGATTTTGACTAAGTCACCTCGCTCCTTGAGGTCTGTTTGCATTTGTTCAAGGTGAACGTTGATTTACATTGCAGTTTTCCAAAGAGTGTTCCACAGATGATTTCCAGAAGCCCTGGAAATAGATAATTCCTCAAAAAGAAGCTGTGAGGGCTGGTTTTCCTGCCCCTCTGCTTTACAAACTGGACTTTCTGCATGACTTTATTTCTAGAAGAGAGTTAGAATTTGACCAGAAATAAACAGGCCTTTTGATTTAACCCTTTGTAAAGTATGGAATATTCAAAGGCATATTTTCGCTCTTGTGGACTTGTTTTTATTTTCTTCAGCTTCAATTTGAATTTGCATATGAGTAATTGATGGTCTGTTCCACAGTCTGTCCCTGGCCTTGTTTTCACTGATGATATGGAGCTTTTCCATTGCCTGTTTCCACAGATGTAGACAATTTGATTTCTATGTATGCCATCTGGTGAGGTCCAGGTGTCTTACGCTGTCTAAAGAAGGCATTT